AAGGAGCGAGGAGAGGGGAGGGGGGTGGGAGCGAGGGAGGCGACGGAAACACAACAGGCCGCTGCTGTCTCGTTGCGCGTCGCAACCCTCCATCGTCGTGGAGTAACGATCGTCCTTTAGTTTCGGAAGTTCGATGATTACGACGTCTTCTGTAAATCCTTCGGGCTGCGCCCGTGTACCGCGGTAATATAACCGGAGACAAACACACCCGTGACGGGAACTTCACTCGCTGGCTTCCTCTTCCGCCTGGCGGAGAGGAGGAAGTTGCACGCGCGTGACTCAACCCGAGAACTCTCCGCTAACGAGCCGAATTTTTGCCGGTATTGTTCTGGACGAGCACCCGTTTCGAAACCGTTTTTTTCGGTTACCTTACAACGAGAGACATGAAAGAATGAAAAAACAAAAAGTCATTTCGAATCGTATCGCGAATGTCAAGCAGTAGGTTAGAATAAATTTATACTTCTTTCGTGGTATTGATTCATATTCCGAGATGTATGGTAAGTATCTCAAAAGGATCTCTCTCTCTCTCTCTCCTTGAATCACATTTACCAGAGAGTTTGCCGTCTCACCGCCGAGGAAAAAGTAAGAATCAACCCCCGGCGAGTTATACATTTTTCGATTAAATTTTCAGCGAATTCGCCGCAAATCGTGTATCTTTCGTCGAGTCACGTTTAATTCAACAGAGAAACGAACGATTCAATTTAAATTTTACCGGAGCTCGTCGTCCTCTTAGAGGACGGATCAGAAATCCTTTTCCATGGCGGATGAGAGCGAGAGAGAGAGAGAGAGAGAGAGAGAAAAGAAGATCGAAGCTTTGGGATAAACCTCTATTCGTTTAAATATAAGCCTGGCACGAGACAGCCGTGGGACAAGGGACGACGGAATAAATCGACAGATTTTCATCAAGAAGTAACCCAGAGACAGCGCCTCCCCCTCCCACTCCACCCCCTCGTGCGGCCAAGGAGATTCGACCAACGAGGTCTGTGATTGGCAGCGCTGACAATTATTTGTTTTCCACAAATCACCGGGAAACGGGTACTTCTCTCTCCACCCTTGTCCCGTGGACTTTTAGACACGCATTCGGCCTGTCCCTGACATTTCTTACAGTATCGTCGAGGAAATTCGTTCCCCACGAATTAAATTTCACGCACGAAGGGCTTCGATAGTGTTATGCAATATACCGTATTGGAAGCCTGCCTCCGGGGGATAAAGATGTAGATTAACGATCGCAACGTGTCTCCATGGACGACAATTTCCCATCTTCGTTAACATTGCGAATTTTGTTTCAATCCTGATATATTGGCTGCAATTCTTCGTTTCATATTATCCAATTACATCCAAATTTTGAATGAAACTAGGCGATCGCTAGTAATAGACGTGTTAAAAATCAAAGTTAGTACCATTGTCGATGAAATAAAATGCCTGACGGTGAAATAATTGATACTGAGATATTAAGAATTGATGTTAATCTTTGTTAACACTGCGAATTTTGTTTCAATCCTGATATATTGGCTGCAACTTCTTCGTTTCATATTATCCAATTACATCCAAATTTTGAATGGAACTAGGCGATCGATAGTACTGAACGTGTTAAAAATCAAAGTTAGTACCATTGTCGATGAAATAAAATGACTGACGGTGAAAGAATTGAT